TGTGTGTTGGAGAGCCAAGCCACAACATTTACAATCTGAGTACGACGTTTTGCCTATAATTACAACTAGCTTCATCAGGCGACAGCCATATTTGTGGAGAAATAGAGGGGTAGATGTGATGACATCAATTGTGTGCTCTTCTTGCGCGAATTGGGGGGGGGGGGGGGATTAATGAATGCATATAAATGACTATGGGTATCCATTGCTGGAAATGATTGCATTTTCATTTCACCGTTTATCCCGGATTCCACATTCTCATGGCAGGGACCAGCCTCTCCATGAAACAGCTGCTCTTGACTTGCCATAAGATGGGTGCAGCATCTGCAGGTTGTGCTCATTTCACTGACCCTTGGAGGCGATTGATGATCATTTGCATGAATGACGCTATATACAATTATATTTGTATTATTTTTATTAGACCTTGAATGGGATTTTCTTTAAAGTACAATACTAACATGACCGCATCATTACAACGCATGTCATAATTAGTTTTGTTGAGCAACACTGTCCCCCGTTAGCCAGGCCCAACAGGAAGCCTGTAGCTGCACCAGCTAACTGTGTTGTTTTATACTCTTCGGTTCTTTCGGTAATGTCACGTAGATGAAAATAATAATAATAAAATGAAAATAACTAAATGAAATCACGACGTTTCGGAGGCAACACAAGCTTCCGTCATCAGGTGGAACAGCCACAGCAAAATTACTACAGTAATTTATTTTCTTATTTTTCATCTACGTGACTTTACCGAAAGAACCAAAGAGTATGGATCCTTGCAGTCACGAAAACATAAAATCTATGTTGTTTTACTTAACTTACAAGGGAAGTCACTGAGTGGTGGAGTTCCATTGCTTCGGTGCCAGTACATTTTGACGAAAATTCCCTTCCCATTTCCCTCCCGTGTAACCGTAATGGTGCCTCGGCATGCATTGCTTGGTGGTTTCATGATAACGGCCTTATCGATCAGCACTGCAAAAGCTGATATTGAAAATTTGGTCGGAGGCTAAAGATCCGAGTGTTATTAAGGGAGATAGTGATCTTCAGTTGCTATTCGAGGCGCACAATTTATATTTACACAATATCAGCTGCCCTTATATGTGTGCATAAATACAGATGTGAACATACATGCTAAGGTACGTTTGTTTTGAATATGAAAAGCTAGTTCTATAAACTGTTGTGTTTATCGGGAATAAAAAAAACTAACATTTCTAGGTGATGGTATCTTATTAGGCATCAGCTTGGCTATGGATATATCCCACACTCTAAACATTTAATACATTTGTTAAATTTTAAGTCACGTTAAAGCATCATTCTGCTCTAAGGAGAACGAGACGGTGATTATCTCTCTTGGTGGTCCTGAACCAGTCATTCAAATTCCACATTTGCATGACAGGGACTAGTCTCTCCATAGTACAACCAGTACAGTTTGACTCCCCACTAAGTAGTGCTCATTTTATTATTCTCAAGAGGGATGACTGGCTCAGTTGCCCCCAACTAGGATTGTGAACTATGAGTTTCTAATTGTGAGTCGAGAGATTTGATCGCTGTGATACCAAATTATATCTCCTCCCATTCACATTCATGTCCATTTATTACGTATAACCTGTTTTGCATGTTTGTTCATTGGCTCATTTAAGTCTGAATAATTGCGCGTGTGTTGTCTTCCCTGTTTACGTCCTGGGTTTATTTTCCATTCGTCTATTGCGAGATATAGGTCACCTCTTTATGTAAGTAATCGAAATTCAGAGTGCATGCGCACACACGAAAAAAAGAGACCTCCGGTGTGATTTTTTTTTATGTGTTAGGTAACCCTGTCAAGGTCCCCCCCCCACCCCGCGATTCATTCCAGCTGTCTTTGTTTGGCAATGGCGTAGGCACAGAGTGCTGTGTCCTCGCGGCATTGCAGAATCTCGAACATCTCGAACATCTGCAGATGGACGAGTGACGGCGTGATGATTTGGCACCATCGCTGGTCGGCAGGGGCAGAGGCACGAATACAAAAAAACTAAAATAATTGGTATTCATATTCTTAGGTCTTTTCGGTAAAGTCACGTAGGTAAAAACATTAAAAAGTAAAATAAAATAGAAATCACGACGTTTCGGAGGCAACACAAGCTTCCGTCTTCAGGTGGTACCGTCACAGCCACGACAGCTGTATCAAGTAAATGAGAGATTGCAGAAGCTACCACTCCGTTTATATAATGGTTGGAGAATAATTGGTCCCGGATTGGAGCCGAGGTGCGTCACGTCCTTAAGTGCGCTTACGCACAATGATCGCTTTCACTCGTTACTCGGTCCCTCCTGTGGCGAGCGGCACGACCGGGCAAACACGAGCTTTGCCACAACTTGCGAATCGTCTGCCAGCTGAGCGCGCTTCTTCATCCCGTGTTGTTTCGATACATTTAAAATTGCTTCCGATGGTGCCTTTCCAATTCTGTCTTGGTCTCTCCGTTTTCATTGCTCTCCGAAATCCCAATGCATTCCTCATTTTTGCAATCCGGTTCCTGTTGGTACGAAGGAGATGCCCCGACCATCTTTGCCATCTTTTCCTGATATTTCCCAACACACACAACTTGGACTCGGAGACAATGGGTTGGGCAGGATTTGGGGTGAGGAAGTCAAAGGTGGTATACAGGAGGTCATGCGCTTCAGTTCCCAGCCCTGAACCCAATATATTTGGAGTTTGTATGTGTCTCTCTCTCTACCCTGTGGTCACGTGGATTTTTATCCCGGGTCCTCTGGTTTTTCCAATCCACATTTAGAATCCGACATCATGCGTTTAGATTATTTGACTGATATAGATCTCCACGTGATGATAGCCAGGTCGTTTCCGAAAAAAAACTATATAGCTCAGTGGGCCTTACCTGGTAATATAAAAAAAGTTATTTTTTTTAGTCTTAGCTTATACCCTGTGTAAACCATGAATATGCCTGCCTGTCTCGGGCAGGTTACTGAGATGGGTTGTGCAGTGCAGCCAGAAATTGGCGACCAAAGAGAAGGCCTGAAGAGTGATGGTGGAAAACTGTGAGAGCTTGAATGACAGCAGGTCACGTATTGGGGCTGGTTGCAGCAGCCGCGGGAGGAATTCTCGGCGAGTTGTGGAGGCATCGGCGGCACAAGCGGCGGCTCCACCTCGACTTGAGAGGCGTGAAGACCGAGTCCGGTGGTGCTCCGGCTCTTCTTCTTCTTATTTCAGACGGCTGACATAGATGCAGAGATACAACTACAATTTCACTTTTAAGGCAGTCAAGCCGGAGTGGAAGGTGGCAGCCTTCACGCGACCTGACATCTGTTAAGTGAGAGATCACTGTGAATGCCATTATTCGTCGTGATTTCGGAACGCGCGCAGTTTCTGAGCGGTCAGCGACGAACTACTTTCTTGAGCTCGCGGCTGAGCGGTATGGAGATTCTGAGTGCACGCGCGGAGTGATACGGTACGCGGCGGCGTACCCTCATCTCAGTTCTTTGTCCTGCCATGGGAGGGCTGCAGGCTCATTTTATAGTGCAAATGTGATTTCAATTAGCATCTATTTATTTATTTATTCCCTGTAATGCATAGACAAGAAATGAATCGCTTTACGCGGGACAAGGAATTGCTTGCACCGTTTTTGGGGAAATCGATAGAGGTCCCTTGGAATAGACTGGACCCTGCCATAGAAATGTGGAATTTTAACCACTAGTTCAAGACGGCTAATGCAGATGCCACTGCACTATGCGCTTATGAGCAGCAGGTTGTAGCCTTGATTGTATGGTTTTAAGCGCAAGTGTTCAAAGTTGCTGTAATCTGTTTTTAGTGGTCGCACTGAGACGCTCGGTAGCTCCAAGGCTCTTGTACAGATCACAGGAACACGTGACAGAAAGGTATTTTCCACATCAAAGAGGAACATTGCGTGTCTTCAAAGTAACCCCCGTTGTAAAGTTACCCTATAGATGCGATGCTAGGATAAATACATCCTTTTCCACTGTTCACACAAGGGGCCACACGTGTCGAAGAAAAACACACGCATTTGATAGCGGTGTTAATATCCATAAAGCATTTCTTTATTGAGACAATTTGCAGAGCTTTTGGAAATTGTACATTGTGTGCATAATTATGGATTTTAAACATGCACGCCTACAACTTTAAAAGTAAATTCCCATGCATTTCTATGCGGCATTTGAGGACGCAAAGTAATGATTTTGGTTTTAAAGTAATGCATGTTTGAGATCTTACTGAGATAGTAAAACTAATACATTCTTCGCTTGGAAATCGGACAAGCGATAATGTGGTGGCCCATGGGAATGAGAAAAGCCACTGCACTGAACCCAGCCCACCCGAGTTTGATTCCAGGCCATGGCCAGGATGAGTACCGAGTTAACTGGTCCTGCCTCTCACCTCCTGCTCCCCACCCAGCCCCCATGCATGGCGAAGTATGGTAGAACAAAGCCCATGATCGACAGTGCGGGGAGGCCTTCATCTAGTGGTGGATTGTCTAAGTGTTACTTATTGGAATAAGGTGTGTGTCTTTGTGCGGCGTGCGCATGCCTGCCGATGCAGTGCACCCACGTGCACACGGGCAGTACCCAAACACGAATGTCGTCAAGAAGTATTTGTGTGACTTAGAGTTGTAATTGAATATCAAAAACATAAGGAAATCCATTTAGTGTCAGCATTTCTAAATATTTTATTGCAAAGCAATAAATATTTGATGTGGCGGAAAAACAAACAATAACAACACCAGGCAAAACGCACCAACTTCCCTCAAATACTCACACCCCGTGTGATTGTTTAGAGGCGAGCGCTTTGGCCCACGTGACTTGTTTACAACGTAACGGTGCAGCCCTGCAATTGCTTGCTTGCGCCATTGCTGGTGGCAATGACCTTCACTTTATTTATTTGGCCATCCAAAAGCCGCTGCTGTGAGGATGACGGAGTCCTGCGTAAGTGTTCTGAGCTCACACGTCGTGTCCGTCCTGCTACGTCTTGCGTAACCGCGGTAACCACGGCTCTGTTTCCCGTGCAGCTGCTCCAGGACTGCCCGAAGGCTCGGAGGGAGGTGGACCTGCACTGGCGCGCGTCCACCTGCCCGCACGTGGTGCGCATCGTGGACGTGTATGAAAACCTGCACCAGGGGAAGCGCTGCCTGCTCATAGTCATGGAGATGTGAGTTATCCTTGCTCACCCAACCACCGACTCAATCACATGACCACTCACTCACTTAATCACACGATCAACTACGAGCCCGCCGAACCACTCGCATGACCACTGACTCATCCTCTTGCCTACTCACTCGCCATGGATGGAGATTTTTAAAAGGGGAATTGCCGTTAGAAGAAGCATGATTGTCATGCATTAATCATCTCAGGTTTCATGATAGGAATCTCATGCAATTCCTAAAGGGATTTTCCATTTCTAATTCAGACCTAGGCTTATTCCCAGAAGATCACCATTATCATCATCATTCACTTAGATTTAAACTCTCCCTTTCACTTATCCGTGTTCCCCAAAACTTGTACAAATGTGATTATACAATCTGCCAATATCTATTTGAGGAAGAGCCAAATTAAAGCACGCAGTGGCACATTATTCACAGCTCTGCAAACTGCAGCAATAACCAACTCGCCGCCGCATCAAAGTCGGGCTGCAGCGCGTCTCTCGATGAGTTTTAAACTTTTACGCAAACCATAACCGGCGGGGATGCACTGACATCCCTGCCGCGCGTGGACCGGCATGAAAACTCAATATTGCTGCGGCCGCAAGCACGTATCACTTTACGGGGCCCAGTGTTTACGATGGATCGTGTCGGCGGAAGGCAACCAGGATGTCTTCGTGTCGCAATGCTCTCCTTTGGTGGGATGTGGAGGGCAATTCCGCACAACGTGTTCCTTGCGTTTGTGTTGGCGCATTGTTTTGACATGCAGGGGGGGAGGGGGCATGGTCGAAATGGGCAATTGGACACATGACGTTGAACTACTGTTGTTATAATGTTCCAAGACTCCTCTTGACAGCGTGTGCTCCGATAGGGTAAATAGCTGAATAAGTGAGAGATGACACGACGCGTGTGGATTATATTTACTCTTGAAGGTGCCCGGTAGAAGCTGTGGGGAATTACTAGGGCGGCCGTGATGTACCCGTTCACAATATGATATAAAATTTCGCGATACGACGATTATCGCGAAATCACTTTCACACAAATCTGTAGATGCGTTTGACGTTTTTATTGTCTTGTTTTGGTGCTTTGACGCACTTCCAGTATGACCAAATGTTGTTGCTCAATGCATGACGAATCGATTTGAGCACAACAGAAGTGTGCAATGTCAATATAAGGCTGTGCTTGGGGGCGCCGTGGCGAGATGTTAACTCCCTCGCCTGGTGTGCAGGAGGTCGTGGGTTCTATCCCGACCCTGACGCCTGCTGCTGTGTATTTCAAATTTGTGTGTTCTAGCAGTGGTCTCGCGGATTTTTCTCCAGATCCTACGGGTTTTTCCCTCCACATTTATAACCAACGCGCTATAAATTTCCGCATGAGCCGCTTCGTTAAGCTATCAATTGTGGCCTGGTCGCTTATGAAAAAGTGGGCCTTGCCTGGTAACATAAAAGTTTAAATTTAATAGTTCATGCGGTAGTTTAATAGCCTTGAGTTGTACAGTTAGTTGTGTGTTCCTGCCACCTTGTGGCTGGACAGCAGCACTATCATGCACTACCGGTTAGGACATTAATCTCGGTGCATGAAGTTCATCGAGTTCCATACACACATGGTCACATGAATGACAGTGCACAGTAAACCTGTTTGTACCATCAGCAAAGTGTTTCTCACAGAACCCTTGCACAATGTCCTCACTCCGCGTTGAAATGTGTGCATGTACCGCCATCGCATACACGCTATATCTAAGTGGTAAGTGATGTTGGGACAGGCAATGAATGTTCGTGACAAGTACTGGCACATCGTATTCATCCAATTCTGGCCCGGCGTGTCAATCGAGTTGTCACGGTAATGACGACGTGTCAATCAGAATCTCATTTATCCTGGAGGCAATTATCCAATGAGCTATATAAATCTTTTTTTCCACAGATGTTCAGTGAAAATTATAGGGAAGGTAGGCAAATCGCTAAAATAAAAATGCAAGAAAATGTTACTATTTTACCAGGGCAAGCTCACTGATCTATTGGTTCTTTTTCAGAAGTGACCTGGCCACAAATGGTAGCTCAACTCAGTGGCTTATCATCACGTGGACATTTCTAGTACCAGCCCAATAATCAAAACGCACGTTTCTAAATGTGGAGTCAAACACTGGAGGACCCGGAGAAAAAAAATCCCCGCGACCATGAAGAGAACATGCAAACTCCAAATATACAGCTGCTGTCGGGTTGGGATCGAACTCACGACCTCCTGTATACCAGGCGAGGGAGTTAACATCTCCTAGCCACCGTGAAAACCCAATGACGTTATGGCCACTGCTACCACGGCCACTGCAGACTATGGTAGCTTTGTGTGTTGAGAACGACGTCGCCGTCAAAATTGCGCTTGCTATTTATTTTTTTCTTCTTTCCTTGTTTTTTTTATTGTTTTCTGGACATGTCTCAGTACAGCATGTTTGAATATTTTTTTTGCATTTCGACACGACATATGGGGGGGGGGGGGGGAGGGTGTAAACGGCTTGCCTCGCTCTTGCTCAGCAGCAAATTGAATTGTCACGATGCAGAGACACTTTTCATTTCAAGGATAATTTCTGGTTTGTTCCAGCGCTCTATTGGCCTATGTTACATTTTGCAGGCGCATATAACATTTTTATTAAAAGACGCAACTAAATGCCATGTATTACAAACATAAAAATGATTGAAGCAAATGCATGCATCATTACATGCCTGGTACAAATTATATTATTCTTATTGTTATATTTGATCATAATTGTTCCATGCCCGCTGTGTGCAGAATGCAGGGTGGGGAGCTCTTCAGTCGGATCAGGACCGGGGAGACCAGGCATTCACCGAGCGAGGCGAGTGGTGGTGGTTGGGTGACAGAGTCTGACAGAGATAACAAAGATCCCCCAGTGTAGCCTTAACAGACTAGGAGCAAGTGCTGTGAGCGAGCACCTGTGAAAGCTGGCACGGCACACGAGGGGGTGGGTGGCCAGCACCATGACCGACCGCCTTCGTCTCCCCAGTGGCAATGTCTACTACACACCGCACCAGGTACCCATTTGAGGCCGAGTCGACTTAGGGGAGGCCCAAGACTGCTTCAGATAATTATCACTGGTGGTTGGAGGTGAGGGTTAGTTGATCATACACAGATCTTAATTTGTTCGACTCTGATCTTTGCAGGTATTGGATGTTTTACATGAGGCAGGACAACAAGTGGGTTGATGATGATCTATATGTGTAGCGTTCTAATTTTTTTTCTTCACGAGTTTACTTTAGGTTTTCCCCCAGATAAAAAAAATACAAAAAAACACATTCAAGCAGGACCCTCCTGAAAATGATCTTGAGACTGATTTAGGATTGTTGGTAAAACATATGTATTATCACCTATATAATAATCTCAGACGGATAGGTGAGTGGTTATTCTGCTTATGCGTGTGGACTAAATAGTTAAGTATATGCGACCACTTTGTAATTTTGATGGTAAAAAGCATGAGCTGTCATTCAAATAAGCAGGCCACTGTGGCTTAAACCAATACTCCAAATGCCATGTTTTAGAATAACCTATAAAACAGCTCAATTAAATGTGTATTCAATTGTTCAATGAAATAACTACTTATATTTGACCTAATTCTGCCTTGAAATTACGGCAATGATTTTCAGTACGCTCTTTTCTTGGTTAGACGTGACTATTTTGTGAACGCATCTGTTTGTTCCAGCTGTTCTACGTGAATTAAGTGTCACTTACGGCGGTGTGTTTGTGCACAGAGGCCTCTGGGATCATGCGGGACATTGGCCAGGCTGTGCAGTCGCTGCACGCAATGAATATCGCACACAGGGATGTCAAGGTGAGGGGTGTACACCCTTTAAAATGTTACACAAGACATACAGTCGCCAGCTTTTTACACTTCCTCGTGTACAGATGTGGCTATAGCTATGTATGTTAAACTTATTTAGCCACTGTGGAGCCAACCACGCAGTTTTAAAGGAGTTTTAAATCTAGATTTAAACGTGCTTAGCCCCGGCGGCTTCCGAATATGGGAAGAAAGAGCGTTCCAGACGGCCGCAGATACGCATCTGAAAGCACGCGATGCTGGTGACCATCTTTGTTCGATAGGCTAGCGAAAAGCCGCTGCGAATATGATTGGAGTTCGCAAGTTAGTTTATGCTCCGTGACGAGCTCAGAAAGGTATCGTGCTTCATTTGTGGCAAGCACTTTGCGTGTGATGAGTGCGACCTTCTAATGCATTCGTTCGGCAACCAGAAGCCAATGCAGCGACCACTGGGCAGACATGGTCCAGTGCTCGCCGATATGCCACGTGTGACCTCAATGCAGTACATGCACCCAAGTCTTCTGTGTGTGAAGAAATTACTAATTCTTATTGTGCTCCCACATGATTTAAATGAAGGCCTTTCAACCCACATATCAACTCCCTTTACTCGACGAACCTAAACACATATCCACTTAGTCAGCCACTCACCCACATGGATACCAGTCAACACACCTGCCTACGTGTCACCGGGACTCTGAATTCTAAGCGAAGAGTTTGCTTAGCGAGTAACTCGGAGCCGGTGATCCTGGTGTGCACCTATCCACACCCGCCCAACTACCCCACGTCGACACTTCGACCTGCCCGCCTGCATCTCTTGCCCTGCGCTAAATTCTAAAGTTTGTTTATTTTAATGACCCCTCCCCCCCCGACCCCAGCCAGAGAACCTGCTTTACACGTCAAAGAAGCCCAATGCCTTGCTCAAGCTCACCGACTTTGGATTCGCAAAAGAGACCACCAGATGCAACTCATTGGCCACCCCATGTTACACACCGTACTATGTCGGTAAGAATGCTACACACACACACACACGTGGCGACTATTATTGATGTGTTTTGACTTTTGGGGGGAAATGCTGCACGCGCGTGTCCGACGTAAAGTCCGCGTGTTGCACCCATGCCGCTTTGATTCGCTGGGACGTTAAACACGGGGAAGGCGTGCTAAGGTTCCCCACTTTTAATGTCACGTGCATTCCCAGCAGCTGAGTGTTCATTTAGGCTTGTGTGCGTCACTTCGATGGTTTAATATACGGCTCCACTTCATCATCTTGATGTTAAACAACCTGCGCTAACTTTCAAATAAGCAGGGTACCGTATGCTATTCTATGACACCAAGTTACAACTTTGTTCTATGATAACCCCGAAAGTTTCACTAAATGTCCACAGTCTATTTAATCGTCTAAAGGAATAACGACAGAATGCAGATCAAAGTCTGCCGCCTTCAGAAGGCGGCAATGATTTCCAATGGACGTTTGCCTGGATACATGGATGGCAAATGGGACGGATGGAAAAGCAATCTCATGGTGTAGATGGGGGGTGGACAACCAGGAGGTTCTCGAGTTAAACGTGGCAGGAGGGCACTGCGGATTCAGAGGAGAACGACTGCTGCCACAGGTGGGGGGGGGGGGGGGGGGGAGACGCTTGCGGGACGGAGGAGGACGGGTTACAGAGACCGCCACTGGAGTGGCGGCTTACAGTTCAATTTCGATTTAAAGCTTTCGTGACTGCAGGGATTCATCTTCTTGGTTCTTTCGGTAAAATCACGTAGAAGGGAAATAATATAATAATACAAATAAAACATAATAAAATAAAATTCACGACTTTACGGCCACAACGCAAGCAGCCGTCTTCAGGTGAAGAACAGGGGTGTCGGAAAGACAGCGTCCAAGCTTAGTGGTGTTCATTGGGACAGTTTTTTTTAAATATTACTTATTTCTCATCATTTTGTAACTAAGTTTGACGCCACAGGGTGGCGCTGCTTCCCCACTACGCATTCTGGTGGCAGGCAGCAGTGCCCGAGTGCGAGGCAATTGAAAGCGCGCGTCCTGTTTTTTAAATTTGTGATGTTTTTGTTTTGCAGCGCCGGAGGTCTTGGGCTCTGTGAAATACGACAAGTCCTGCGACATGTGGTCACTGGGAGTCATCATGTACATCCTGTAAGTGATGCAATTCCTGGGCTCAGCGTCTCTCTCCCTTGACCACAATGGCTACTTGGGGGGCCTCACTAATTACGGTGTGAAAGAAGTTCAACCTGCAGACATGCCTCGGGCATCTGCTCTCTCCACATTTGACTTGAGCGTCGCTGCCTTTGCCACGTGTTGCGCCTAAATAGAATTGCAGCATTCAATCTGAGCTCGCAGCATTCATCCTAAGCAATAGACGACACATTGTGGTGAACGTACACAAGGGGCTTGTCCGTCTAAGGTCTGTTTGTGTGCGTGGAGCGGTAATGTAGCGGTTAGTGTGCTGCGCTACGAACACCGCAACCTGTGGAGTTAAATTCCTGCTCACGGCCAACACCAGTGACATTTATCTGAACCGGTTCTGGGTCTCCCAGATGTCTATTCAGTATCAAATGAGTACCTGGTGCGGTGAGTAAACATCGCCACTCGGGAGACAAAGGCGGCGGGGGCATGGTGTTGGCTACTTGCTCCCTAATGTGCCGTGCCGGCCTTCATAGGTGCTCGCTAACAGCGCTTGCCCCAACAGTCTGTGAAGGCTATACGGGGGGATTCTGTTTTTGTGTGCGCATGCAGTTTGTGTGGCTTTCCTCCCTTCTACTCGAATCACGGGTTGGCCATTTCGCCAGGGATGAAGAAACGCATCCGCATGGGCCAGTACGAGTTCCCCAACCCCGAGTGGGCTGACGTTTCCGAAGAAGGTAACGGACCGACCGTGGGGGCTTGGGTGTCTTCATCGGTCATGCACAGTGCACCGAGCATAACGGCATCCCCATGTAGGGCGGCTTTCCCCTACTTCCCCCAGTCCCAAAGATATTTCATTGCTCCATCTCCTCGGTGTGCGCCCTTGAATAATATTCTTGACCGTCGAGTCATCCTTTCTAGCGGATACATCCTGCCCAAGCGATGCTTGATTTTTTTAAGTTGTGTTGTACCACTGATGTTGTATAGGCAGTTAACGATTGGTTCTGTTATTTTGGAATCTGAGCGAAGGAAATGCTGTGCGTTTTATGCCCGACCCCAGCAAAGCAGCTGATCCGTCATCTTCTGAAGACGGACCCAACTGCACGGATGACAATCACCGAATTCATGAATCATCCGTGGATAAATGTAAGTTAAAAGCCAACTACCGTATATGCCTTACACCCAATGCCTTCACCACAAGTCTGATTTATAGCGCGTACCAAGTTTGCAAAGTGAGTAGCTAAAGGCTCAGAGGAGCTGATGTAAGTACCCAAAATAGTCGCTTTTCAAAAGGAATGTGGAGCATTCTGATAATGTGCATGCCCACAGAGGGGGTGACAGTATTGAATGGGAGTCGTGATTGATTTGCAAGTCTCGCTTGGTAAAAATAACTTTGCTATTCATAATATGCCATGAATTTGGGAGTTGCCCTCTAGAAATGCTGATGACAACTAATATTGTTTCTTCATCTATGCCGCCGTCCATGGGACTCCTCTTGACATCTTTAATATCAGTGATTCCTGGCACTGTGTATGAATGTAGAACTTCTTTTGCACCCTACGGAGCTAACCATGCCAATCTGAGATCACGAATGTGTGCGGCGGCTTCCTGGCGGTCCCTACGTGACCTATCCCACTCTCTACCCATGAACACCCCACTTTTATCTCTGCACCGTGGACTTGTGCAAGATTGGCTATCGCCAACTTAATTTAAACTACATTAATAGGGTAAATTTGGCGTACATTAGATAGCCAAATTTGTCCGTCTCGTGTAAATCAAGTACGCTGGAAAATAATTTGATGAAGCTTCCTTTCTCACTCCGATTGTGGATTTGTCTCCAGGTCGCTTTTGAAAAAGAGCTATATATAGCTCAAGTGGGCCTTACGTGGTAACACTAAAAATAGTTTATAGCCGGCGTGGCCATAAGCCCCGGCGAGTAGTGACAGACGCTGATCTTGCGTGACGCCACGCCAGGATCCCCGGCGGCCTCTGCTTCCGAAAAAGGAAAGAAATAAAACACATTGGACGATTCCTCTCCATCGGGGTTTTTCGTCTGTTCCAATGGGTTAGCATTCTGGACGTCCAACCTAGCGGGTGCCAGTTCTCGGTCTCGGCCTGGCAATGTCAACAATAGGAAAGCTTCTTCAATCTCTCCGCCTCTGTCCGCTCGGCGCTATCAATGGGTCACGCGCAGCTCGTTGATTGCGTGCGATTTGGGGGGGGGGGGGGGGTCAAGTGCGAATACTCCCACCTCTTCCAAGACGTCTGGCCAGCAAAGCAAGGAAGAGTAGGCCAAATATACCCTCCAGGGAGGGCTACTGTAGCGGAGGCCCTTCTGCCGGCAGTGACGTGAGCAAGCAATTGGTGGGGCTGCTTCTTCACCGCCTTGTTTCTTATTGCAGCAATCCATGGAGGTGCCCCAGACACCTCTCCACACCAGCCGTGTCCTCATGGAGGACAAAGACCTGTGGGAAGAGGTGAAGGTAAGCGATGGGGAGTGATCAATGCGTATGTGACCTGGTCAAGAAAGCGATGACTGATTGTGATGGTGCTGTTATTGTTCAGCGTCATTATCATCATCACGATCCATGAGCAGATAGCCCAGTTGGTGTCCACTGAAACATCTCGTCATTTCCCCTGTCTCGTGCCAACATGCTTCAAGTAGTGCCACATCTTTCAGGCACCAATCTCTTATGTCGTCGTTGTGGAGTCATTCTCTTTTAGGTCTTTACTCTCCTTCCCGTTCATTTCATTTTTCCAAACACACTTTAAATGTTCCTGTTGTTCTCCACCTTACATGTGTGTCCAAACAGTGCCAGTTTCCTTATACTCGGCATATTTTCCTTGAATTGCAATTGTCTTGGTTATGAGGCATTAACCCCTGCTCCCTCAAAGCACCCATTAACCAGCAAACTACATTGTCGCCTATATATTGTTTTCTCAAGTGTTTTTTTTTTACTTTGGAAACCTGTGGGAAGGCACTGGGAGCCAGGTTTTGACCACTGTGGATATTCTGACATTGTCTGCGTCCTTTGATTTCCCTTCGAGAGACGGGACAAATATAAGCAGGCTTTCATACACCTGTAAAATGTAGTGATCCTGAAAATAATGTGCCTCTTACTGACCATTCACCTTGTGATGTAGCAACCACTCCTTCTGTAGAATAACATGGAACTTGAGAACACTTGTCATATCAGTGCGATTATACAAGCACTTATAGCAGGTGCCCGCGGGAAAGGATGGTGAATATACACACACTCACTGGCTCTCCTTTACCTGGCCAACTTCCCATGACATCACCCCCCCTCTCCTCACAACATCACGCCAATCTTGCATAACGCGGGGATAACTCCCTTTCAACAGCCCAGCGTCTCCCCTCCACGTAAGCCCATTCGTCCCCTTCCCTCCATATCACCAGCGTGGCACATGACACCCCACTCCCCACCCGGCCAAAATGGTTATTTTCCCATGCCCCAATGCCTTAGACAGACGAATAAGCGTAATAGCATTACATAGGGAAGAGTAACCAGGAGCAAGAGTAACAGGATTGCGGATGTATATATAACAGAGCCAGCGCAATATTAACATTTTATTTTTTCATGGTGTTTTAGTATTTGATGAACACGCATTATGTTTGAAACTTGTTATTAAATCCGTTGTTTTAAATCACAATATGAAAGTGGACTTTTTATCTTGCAACCACCGTCTCTATGCTATGAAGAAGAGCCATTTCCTGAATTGTCGCCAATTATTTACTTTTAAGGCAGTGTTGTTGACGGACTTGAAGTTTTTATTTTATCTACAACTAGGCCTTCTATACAAGCATTTTCACACGGAAATAATCAGGTGTCATCAGCAGGATGGCCCCTTCTCAACCAATGTTATTGTAAAGTGCTCTTTCATATTTGCACTGATATGATTTATACTCACCCACAATCCACCAAGGCATGGCATTCTCTTACTATTGATAACATCCTTACCTTGGTCAGTCCACTGCTGGATGAAGGCCTCCCCCACACCATGGCAGACGTCAGTGCTTGGGTGGTTTAGGTTGTTTGTTCACCGTGGCAGAGAACACCACAATTAAACGGTCGAGAAAAATAGGTTTGACAGGCAATTGAATAATGAGGGGAACAGGACTGTGTGGTAGAGTGTAGTGGTTTGGTGGGGCGCGCTACGAACCTGCCGATCCAGATTCAATTCCTGCTCAGTCAACACCAGTGATGATCATATTAATCGGTCCTACCCTCCTCTAGGTCGACTCGGACTCAAATTACTACCTGGTGCAGTGTGTAAAGATGCCCGGGCGTGGTGCTGGCCACCCACCCCATCACGTACCTGTTGACCTTCACTAGGTGCTCGTGAATATAACCACTTGCCCCGCAAGTTTAAGGCTGTGCTCGGTGGATCTTTGTCTGTGTCCACGCAGGATGAAATGACAAGTGCGCTGGCGTCTCTGCGGGTCGACTACGAACAAGTGAGGATAAAGAACGTGGCGGAGTCGAGCAATCCCCTGCTCAACAAACGCCGCAAGAAACAGGAACAGCCAAAGAATGCCAACAAAAGCTGAACTCGCTAGGGGAAGCGCAACGCCCCTGGCATGTCGTGGCCACAGCGTGGCACACTCACTCACACGTACGTGCCAAGTCCAGACCGTCAACATCGTGCTCTCGTGCGCAAGGCTGTCCCCCTCCCAAGATATTTCAGGTTCAAGAGTGCGAAACCGTACTGAAGTCTCGAACTTTTTTGGGAGGTTGCTAAAAACACCTCTCGGACTTGTGGAAAATTATTGGGATGCTTCAAACTGACGGGAGAGCCTTAAAACGTCTTTCATCGTGTTGCGAGACCCTCAGAAGTCTCACTCCTGTGTGAGGGGAGGTCTCGTAAAGTGCACAAGAGCAGCACCGTTACAGAAATGTTTGCAACAGCGGTTACTTTATTTTGTATTCTGTCTGCACGGGTGGTATGGTTGGCAGGGACATTGACTCGAAGTACAAATGTAGGCTTGGTTATTTTTTTTAGGCTTGCGTAAATGTTGACGACATCCGCTGTCAGAAAATTACACCTATGAGGGCACGTTCGTGCCAGTCTCAGAAAAAAACCCACGTTTTATCTGACGATAGTTCCTTGCCTTTTCGTTGCGCCCTTCACAAGGGGTAATGTAGCCCAGTGTTTTGGCCCAGTGCTGGTCTTAATGTGGTGGCAATGGCAAATGTTGCAGCCTTACAAATGGTGAGCTAATCTAACACAACTGCCTCCCTCAAATCCGCAAGTGAAAAGTGAAGAGATGCCCAACTGCATCTCAGAAACTTATATACCTTAGTGGTGAAGCCAGACTTTGAATCGTGCCCACTTCCCCCATGGATACATCCTGGTCGTTTGATCGTTATTCATGTTCTGTCGTTGAGGATGGCAAAACGCAGGCAAGCCTGTTCATTGCCACGTGTGCTTTAAAAGAGCGTTCAATTTCCTCCTGCATCTGAATGCAGTGCTAACTTGCAGGCACGGTCGTGGACCGTGTCCCACTGTCCGCGGCGGTACCGCGCATTATAATTTTACAGATGAGAAAAAAGAATCCCATAATTATTTAACACGTCTTTAGCACAACAGGTATTGTCCAGATTGTGCCAAAGTGCAAGCGAACGTGCAAATGCAAGATGGCTTGCAAATCGTTGTGGGGTTTTTTTTTTACAATATAATGCTTACAAGGGAATTTGCCTGTTCTAAACCCAGATGGTTGGCTACGTATGGTGCAAAAGAAGTTCACGCAAGTGTATGTGGCTTTAAGCATCGCATAATATGCCCGAAAGGCTGTGTTTTGTTACACTAAAAAGTGAAAAAATAAGGTTACACTGAATGGCTGTGAAATAACACCGACCATTATTTGTGTTTTGCATTCATTGGCATATGACCGCAGCAAATTCAAAATTATCCACAGTAATTGTGTTTATCCATACCCATTGCCTAATAAATTAACGTAATTTGCTACATTTGGATACATTGTACATATTTTAATAAGCTGAGAATTATTTTTAGAAATGTTAAACCTATAAAGTGTTTTATGACTGCAAACTTAAAGTATGTCGTCTCTTGAATATAATATTTAAACATTTCATGCTTGTGTAAAATTCTTGTTAGTCGTGCACAAACATTACAATAGTACTGCGAGAAATGTAGATAAACAATCGTAGAGTATAATATAGTTTAAAGTTACTGTATTTTGCGATAGTTGTTTTATTTCAAAGACAAACGCCCTACATAGTTTGCATTGTAGACTGCGAAGTATGAATGTAATGTTTCTCCAAACAGCTTGAAAAACCAGCAAGCCTACTGCAGTTTTTCAATGCAAGTCACACTTAAGAGCATTCACGTAATTTCATTCACGGAAAAAAATGGCCCGATTCATTAAGATATTTTAGCCGTAATTCAACCACTCTGGAAAGATGATTATGGGTTCGTTTGTTTTTTTCCCCACTTAAAATTGGACCCATTCCAAACATTGCAAGTCACGTGGGGTCGATTCTGCTCAAACGACACCCGTTCTGCAGAGTGCAAAGGGGGGTTATAGGGCAGGGTTGAGGAGGCGCGAAATCACACTCGGGGGGGGGGGGGGGGTGACCCCATTGTGCAAAATTCCACGTGCAGACTTCTACGCGAACCGTCAACGTAAACATTCGTAGCCGCCTTGCGTTGCTCTCAAACTGTGTGGAACGTGGCGGAATGGGGGTCGTGCACACGCGTGTAGAAGATCGGTGCGGCGATGAAGATCGGGATGACGTGGATGATGGTTCCTATGCATTAGAATCGGCCAAATTGAGTTCGATTCCTGGCCACGGCGAACATCAGTGGCACCTGTTCTGAGCCTCCGAGGCCATAAAAAGCTTTAAACTGTTACAGTGCGAACATGGGCGCTCATTTGTAATCCAGCTCATTGGATGCAACGGTTTGTGGATTGCTAAAGGATCCGGTGGTTGCTGTGGGTTTATAGATTGGGATTTGATCACAATCGGTGGCCACAGTAGCAGCATCATTGTCCGATTACAATCTCAATACATTCTGATCACCATTATAGTTTATTTTTTTAAGGATTTATAAATCATTTGGGGCTTCGTGTTACACTTCTCCACGTCGGTGGTGGGCAGAGCGCACATGGACCCAATTCCCCTTGGCACTCTCTCCTAATTGGTGGCAGCAGTTATGGGGGCCGCAGCAGCGAGATGTTAACTACCTCGCCTGGTTTACAGGTCGTGGGTTCGATCGCGATCCTGACTGACGCCTGTATATTTGGAGCTTGCATGTTCTCCCCGTGGTTGTGTGGATTTTTCTCCGGGTCCTCTGGTTTTCCTCTCCACATTTAGAATCAACATGTGTTTAGATTGTGGCTGTTATAAATTTCAATGTGATAAGCCACTTCGTTGAGCTATCATTGGTGGCCAGGTCGCTTCTGAAAAAGAGAGCCCTAGCTCAGTGGGTCTTACCTGGTATAATAAAAAAAAGTTTAGTTTGTCACCATTAATGTCTCATCCTTGGAATTTGGCTACTAATCAGCTGGCTGAGAGTGGTTAAAGAAATCGATTCACAAATCAGAAGCACGCAAGTTCAAATCACTGGAAGGGATTGACTTAACGCATCGTTCTGAGTTTGTAAAGTGAATGCCACTTTAATGGAGGTCAATGGTAGGCACCCTATGGACAGTCTGTGCCCTGCCATGGAAATATCGTGACGAGTTCCACCACCACTCATTTGAGGACAAATCGCTGATTATGCAACGGTAGAAGCATAGAGAGATATGGAATGGATGCGTTTTTCCTGGTATTGAGCAGAATATGCAGTTGGGAAGTTGAGATGTCGCGGTTCATAACTGGGGGGTCTGCAGTTCGATTTGCAATGCAGTCTTGTGGGCATTACCAACATGCTGTGGTGTCTGCATTGGCTTGGCATTCATTAAAAAAATCAATACAACAGGACTTGAAATGTTGAGGCTCCCTGTGTTAAAAACAATCTCGGTTATAAATTGTTAAAAATGGGCCAGTGCTTTAAAAGGGTCCCTTTAAAGCTATCATGACTGCAGTTAAGAATGCACTCTTATTTGGAAAGTGTTCAACGTTTACAAATGAGTACCAAATGCGGTTTATCGTGAACTGTTGGAAAATACAACTAACCCACTTCAAGATTATCTTGAAAAGTTGTAAAAATGTGCACCCTTTTTTACTCATGCAAATGCCAGATATTTGTATTCTACATTCAGAATAGCAAAAATGTGAGCAGGTTACATAAATGGCAGTGTACATTTTAAAAACTGTCAAAGTGTCTTTGCATCTATGAACATACTTAAATTTCAACAACATTGTTACTTTATTGCTTCTATTGTTGTTTGAGGAAGACTTATGCAGTTATTCATATCACAGGTAAAAGTTTATTTTACAAAGTACTTGATATTAATTCACCAGCCTCGTTGACATTGAAGTGAGCTGAATGTTAACAAAATAGTTCCCTTACAAAGTCGATGCCAAAGCAAATTACGCAACAACAATTAAATGATGAAAATGTGATTAGGTTTAATGTGCGGGTCCGTAGCTTGTTGCTTATTTTCACAATGATTGGGTGGTTGCTCCCTGCCTTTATGGAATTAGCACAGTTCAGTTAATAGCATTGTTCAACTTTAAGCACGGACTCTATGCAATGAATTAACTTGGGATTGATGCACTGAAAAAAAACTATTTGCTATCTTTGTAAGAGCACTCGTGTCAACCAAAGTACCACAATCTTGGGCAGTGCCGTTACAATGTTGCTCACGGAGCCGATGCCCTCTGATCATCCCTGACCCAGTGGACATTCCCGTTCTGGGGATCTACCTGTAATTCCATTTCACCGAGGAAAGTTTCTTCACTCAAGGTATTGCTGCGAGTAAGTTGAATGTTCACACGTGACTGGGCCAACACCGATAAGACCATGGGCTTCGAGATCTCCAATCCCATCCACATTTATTTGGGATTCTGTCCAGACGGCAATGACTAAATGAATCCATTTTTAAAAGTAATTGCACGGGGTATAAAAAACAATGGTGCAATTTTCTTTAAGTCCCCCCCCCCCCACCCCTGCCCACCAGCAGTGCCCCACAGTTAGTCTATGGGGGCGGGTCGTGTCTGGTGGACTCGAGGCTGGGTGCTCCCACCACTTCCAAGATGTGTGTCCAATATGGAAGAGTAGGCCAAAATATCCTCGAGTGGTAGCCCTTCTGCCAGCAGTCGTGTAAGCAAGTATTTGTTCGTTACCTTTTGGAGTAATCGCAGCTTACCCAGAGTCTGAAATTTCGTTAAATCATTGCCAAGTACCATTATTTATGAATAACTGGTAAGAAAGAGATAAATACTGAACATTATTTACGAAAATGTACAAGAATGCCTCACTGAGGCTCCAGACTGGTGCTCCATTGGTGTTTGGGACAATTCATTTGCAAGGAGTTTGGAGGTGCACGGATATTCTTTCCCTCTAAACCTTAAACTCGACCTGGTGCAGTGGGGGGGGGAAGGTGGTTGCTTTTGCCATTCAACTCATTCAGTGAACAAGCACAAAACACCAGGGTCTGTCCTGTCACCTGCCAGCGAGCCTTCAAAACGTCATGTGGCCTCAAAATGTACCTAACCTGGCACAAGCACCGTGCAGACATCGGGTGACGAATGGTGGTTGTTGCTGTGCATTTGTTTGTATGCGATGGAGTTGCATTTAGCGCAATGCACTCGTCTCAGTTGCCTGGGTTAGATTCGCTTTTTAGTACATGTCCTTGGCAACCCTTAGGTGGACTCCACTTGAACAGGAGTACCTGGTGCAGGGTGCACGACACTCGACAGATGGATGGACGTCGTGTTGGTCACACCACGTTACGTGCCATGTTCGCCTTAATTTGGTGCTCGTGACCAGCATTCATTCTGACAACCGATGACGTTAAACAGGGGATCTTTGTTCGTGTGTTCATTGCGGTTGCGTGCGCGTGTGTGTGGCAGAATACATTTAAGTGCAAACAATCCTGGATTTACATGCCAGACTTTGTAAACAAGGGGTTGTTATACTAAATGTGTGTTCCCATTTAGTGCGGGAGAAGACCCTAAGATGTGAATACTCTTGCGTGCTTTCGGAGACCACACACGTTGGCGAATTTTGATTCATGTGTGACATTGTCCGTACAACTGCAAGTGAGTTTCAACAGTGTGTGTGTATATCTAGACTCGTATTTTGTTACTGGCCTTGAAAAAAACACTTAGTCAATAAAAACAAGGTTTTTGTTTTCAACTAATGTGTGAGAACTTATTGCGTACATGCTGCTCAGAGACAAAACACGTACACGGGTTGTATATCTGGACACATGCTATGCAATTCAGAAGCTGCAATCCATTCATTATTTTTCCTTTTTTAAATGTCTAATTTTACAGCTTTGTTCGTTATTAAACAGCGCAATGTGCATGAAAAACACCAATTCCTACCACTGGAATTTTAGAGCATTGAGTTATAACAAATCGATTATAATCCACACGTCGGGGGTTCGATCTCCCGGCACGGCAACTAAAATAAATCAAGAGGGCACGTTCCTTATTGGCCCACCCCTCCCCCCCGCCCTGCCTCTGCTCTTGATGTTGGATCCGTGTCTGTGTCCCGGTGACGAACTCGCACACAAAACACTTTGCTGTGAAAGAGCCAACGCAGGCGATCCCTAGGGTTGTAATATTCCACGGAGCGCATGGTCTCCAGCCCCTAAATCGTATGCGCTGCACACACCATGGCAGTCGATACGGATACCCGATGCACAAATGGACAATTAAAACGTCCCAGATTTGAAGCTTTCGTGAATGCAAGGATTCACACTCTTAGGTTTTTTCGGTGAAGTCACGTAGGTAAAAATAAATAATAAAAATGATAATAGAAATAAAATAAATCACGACGTTTCGGAGGCAACACAAGTCTCCGTCATCAGGTGGGACCGTCACAGCTAAATTCACTGTATCAAGTGAGGAAAAAATCCAAGAGGCAAGCTCTTAAATACAAGTTAAGTGGGAGGGGGGGGGCCTTATGTGAATGGAACAGTGGGGGGCGGAGCTTGGAGTTGCGGCCGATTGTTGGCTGACAACTAAAAAATACCGCGGTGATCCAGAACAGACCGGAACGACGCAATGCCCCTGATCCACAAATACGAATGAGGAGACATCGCAGCGATGATGCAGCTCCTGACGCGATTGTCTGGGCATGACCACCTGAATGTGACATTGTAGCGGTTAAATTTCGATTTAAAGCTTTCGTGACTGCAGGGATTCATCTTCTTGGTTCTTTCGGTAAAGTAACGTAGAATGGAAATAATAAAATAAAAATAAAACAATAAAATAATTCTCACGACGTTTCGGCCACAACACAAGCAGCCGTCCTCAGGTGAAGAACAACCAAGAAGATATGCAAATTATTTTGTCAAGGCGCTCTTCCCCCTCCAACCCAGCTTAAATATACGCTCCAAGCCTGGGGTGTTTTATTCAGACGCTGTCTTACCGACAGACCTGTTCTTCACCTGAGGACGGCTGCTTGCGTTGTGGCCGAAACGTCATGAGAATTATTTTATTAGGTTTCATTTTTATTATTTTATTATTTCCATTCTACGTGACTTTACCGAAAGAACCAAGAAGATTGTAGCGGTTGCTCTGCATCTACGCCATCAGCAGCCGTGCGTCGAGAAGACGGCGAACCCTGAGGGAGGGTTGTCTTGAGCCACTCAGCTGTTGCAATTAAAGTTGACGTCCACCAGGTGGCGCCACGGCACCGAGCTTGCGACCCGAGCGATTTGGGGAAAATATCCAACTGCGATTTTTTTTGACAGATGTAGCGATTAAAATGTTTTTAAGTCAAGAATCAGTTCAATATTCACTGTGTAATAGATTTAAAACACGATGGAGCAATACCACGTAACAAAATATGAACTGCTCTATATATTATAATGCAAATATGATAACTTAAAATATAGGACTTGCTTCCAACATGTATTTATTAAAAATGTTTGAATTGAAATATAACAATCAAACACGCAACAATTGTTAAGTTAAATAAAGTAAAAATAATATAAAATAAAACAATTCCAATAAGTAATAGGACTTTGGAAATCGCAGCCTTTGCGACTTGCTAATAGCATTGTTTCAAATTGCGATTTCGATTTGAAATCGATTAATCGTTCAGCCCGAGTTGGCACGCCGCTTTGTCGCCTTTAAAATACTGTTTAGCCAAACACCACGCCCGGCCGCCTTTGTCTCCTGAGTGGCGATGTTTACACATCGCACCAGGCACTTGTTTGAGGCTGCGTCGACCTTGGCGAGGGCACAGGACCCGGTTCAAATAATTGCCACGAGTCCGAATCCCAGAACGGGGTTCGTAGCGCAGAGCGCTAATCGCTGCTCTAATAATTATAATTCAATTTCGATTTAAAGCTTTTGTGACTGCAGGGATTCATCTTCTTGGTTATTTCGGTAAAGTCACGTAGAATGGAAACAATTAAAATAATAAAATAAAATATAATAAAATAATTCTCACGACGTTTCGGCCACAACGCAAGCAGCCGTCATCAGGTGAAGACGCTGTCTCCCCGACAGACCTGGTCTTCACCTAATGACGGCTGCTTGCGTTGTGGCCGAAACCGTCGTGAGAATTATTTTATTATATTTTATTTTATTATTTCCATTCTACGTGACTTTACCGAAAGAACCAAGAAGAATTATAATTCACTCACACACACCAAAACAAGGACAGCCTTGCCCCAATAGGGAGTGGGGAAAGTACCGTTAGCGAGCACGGAATAAAGCCGGCACTGCACACGACGTCTTGGAGTGGCGCTAACCACGCCCGACCGCCTTTGTCTCCCCTCTCCAGCACGCGTTGGAAGCGCAAGCGGGAATCCGCAAACGGCCCCGCTGCGGATCGTCGCGGATAAGAGTCACCGCCCCCTGATAAATGTCCTCCTCATTATAGATTTGAAGCTTTCGTGACTGCAAGTGTTCATATTCTTAGGTTCTTTCGGTAAAGTCACGTAGGTAAAAAAGATATTAAAATTAATAAAAGTAAAATAACACGTAGGCTTTCGCGACCAATGTTATTCATAATCAACGATTTTTGGGTTTAGATCGCGTTATTTATAAATGTGTCGTAACCCTCCACCACCCGACACGGCCAATCAGTAAAAAAGTGTCACGTTGACAAAAGACAAATAGTTCACTGCTTTAGCCCACCGGTGTGTTGTACTCAAATTGTAAATGTTGTGGCTTCAACACACCGGTAGGCTAAAGTAGTGAACTATTTGTCTTTTGTCAACGTGACACTTTTTTACTGATTGGCCGTGTCGGGTGGTGGAGGGTTACGACACATTTATAAATAACGCGATCTAAACCTAAAAATCGTTGATTATAAAAGTAAAATAAAATAAAAAATCACGACGTTTCGGAGGCAACACAAGCTTCCGTCTTCAGATGGAACCGTCACAGCACGATAGCTTGTGTTGCCTCCGAAACGTCGTGCTTTTTTATTTAATTTTTATTAATTTTAAAAAAATTTTACCTACGTGACTTTACCGAAAGAACCTAAGAATGTCCCCTCCTCATTATCCGCGCGTCGTGTTGGCCGGTCCCCTTTTCCCGCGACCCACTTTGCGTCGTTACTCCGGGTAAGGTAAAAAAAAGACTGATTAAAATTAGAGGAAGGTTTTCTGATTAAAATCACAAGCTTTTCTTCTCTTTCCTGCCACAGATTGGATGATCCGCTCGGCAAATACATTCGCTTATCCGCATTTTTCAAAACTTAGTTTTATCTGCAGTTAAGGGTAACTAAAAACACTTTTCTTTTATTTTACCAGGTAAAGCCCATTGACCTGTGTGTAGCTCTTTATTTTCAGAAGCGACTTGGCTATCACAAATGAATAGCTCTACGAAGTGGCTTATTACACTGTGCAACAATTAGTTTTTGTCCCTGGGTAGTGAGTGTTATTTACTAATTGCTTATGCCTCAAAAGTGCAGAAAAATGGCTATTATTCCCCACAAACTTTGCTTTTGTGACCAGGACAGTGATATTTTGAAATGTACCCATTTTCAATGAGAAAACGGGCGAATTTGTGTCTTTTCGTTCACATAAAGTCAGAAAAAACCCAAATGAATAAAAATTAGCATGTATTTATACTGAATTAATAAAAAATTACTACAAAAGATTTAGACATCAAGGCGCACTACCACAGGCGGGACTGGCCACAGCGGACCGAGTTCTCTGTGGTGCGGAACAACGTCAAGTGGGAGCCACTGGTGGACCCCCGGAAGGTGCTGATGCCACGACTGCACATGAAATTGGGCCTTATGAAACAATTTGTCAGAGCTGTAGGTAAGGAGTCGGCAGCCTTCAAGTACCTTCAAGACTTCTTCCCTAAGCTGTCTGAGGCAAAGGTCAAAGCCAGTGTCTTTATTGGACCACAGATTAAGAGGATCCTGGAGTGCAATGGATTTCCCAAAAAAGCTCACGAGTATGGAATGACAGACATTAACAAAAATTACAATTCATTATAACACTGAGTGCAAATTTATTCAGTACACAGGAATACAGCCCACATTTGTTAATTATTGTTTAATGATTGTATGAAGTGGGAACTAAGTATTAGGAATATTCTAATTTAAGAAGTCTACACATGCTTCTCTCTCCCATATCTCCTCAGGCATCAACTAGACCACGCACGCTTATCCAACAGAAATTGTGATTACATATGGTAACGTTGGGTGGTTTTCCAAGCCCATGCCACCAAAGAACACGTAATGACGCATGCGATGTAGCCTCTATGACAATATGCATCAGAAGTGGGCAAATTACTCAACAAATTATGGAATGTGAAATATACTTTCATTTTATGGAAGATTGTAATGTTACGTCACAAGCAGCGTTATCAAGTGGGATTTCCCAAACACGACTGCAGACCGCGCTTTTAGGATCAGAAAATGAAACCTCAATCCAAGCACAACCCACTAATAACCAATTTCACAACCCCAAAGTGTGTAGGCGAGAACACGCATATAATGAGCAGATCAGCCTCAGAAAATCATGAACAAAGCTCCAAAGGTTCTGCAGGTGAGAGGCATCCCTGGCTCATGTAGCCATTGCTGTAATACGAGTGTGTCAGGGTGATGATAATTGTCAGAATAATGTTTTTTGGTTTAAAATGTCAGGTCTTGTGCTGATATGGGCATGTTAATTGCTGTAATTTTTGGTGCCAGATTAAACTTTTTATTCGTTC